TGGTGCGAAGGCATGCGGGATTGTACCTGGACAAGACTCGAGCACCTGAGCTGAGCAACGTGCTGCTGCTGACAGCCGCCAATTATGGTTACTTGGACATGTTGCAAAACTGGGAGTGCTATGCGAGAAAGCTTGGTTTGGATTGGCTGGTTGTTGCGATGGATGATAAGATTTTCAAGGAGCTTGGATCAGCACGCAGCTTTCTAACAGTCGGTGAACGCCTTGATGGCTACGAGCGCTTTGGGAGTCCGGGTTTCAAGATTGTTGGATGCAACAAGCTGCGATCCATGTTTCGTGTACTTGTGGAAGCTCAGCTGGACGTAGTGTTCTCTGACGGAGACAGCGTGTTCAAGAGCGATCCTTTCTTGCCGTCGCTCTCACTTGGCAGCATGATTCGATCGGGCAAGTACGACATGATTTACGGTCGCAAGATCGTCCCTCCTGGTGCTAAGAAGGACGAATACCATCAAGAGCCCATCAAAGGGAACACCGGCTTCTACTACGTTTCAGGGACCAGAAAGCCTCGAATTATGCAGCGGATGTTCAACATCAGCATAGAGTGGTGCGACAAGAGGCCTGGCCTGGATGACCAAGAAAACTTTTGGGACGCACTTGTGTTTGAGCGGAAACGGCAGCCGAGCGACAAGTCCTTCTTTGCTTGCTTCCGTCACTGTGACAGTACGCAGTGTAGCGGCGTGGAGTCGGATTCTGTATTTGATTACTGCGACATGAGCCCCTGGGAATACCTGGACGGAGCTATCCATCCGAATGATGCTGTCAAGGCACCATATCAGATGGTGTCCTATCACGCCACATGGGTGTTTGGCAAAGAGGCAAAACAAAAGAAACTGAAGATGGTAGATCTGTGGGATCCACAGTGTCGAACGATTTAAATTGGAAGACTGACGGATAGTATTGCATCCGAACGTCCATTCACGGACACGATCAAGCTCATGTTCTAGCAGTGCATGTCGCCTTTCCCAGAAGACATGGCCAGTGCCGGACGTCTCAGGAAGCAGCTTCAGGACGAGGTATTGCAAAATGGCGTAGCTCTTCCCGGTTCGGCCAGAGCTCATGTTCCTGCAGGTGGCTGACAGGCGGTTGAATGGAAGGCCTTGTGCTGCGACGAAGGCAGCATCCACCGAGCATATCTCCAAGAGAAAAAGCCCCTCCTGCCTCTGCAGCGGATTATGCATCTGCTCTAGCTAGGTGAATTGAGTGGTTAGCACCTTGGCTTTTCTCCTCTAAGGTGAGCTGCTGGCTGCTTGTCACGCGGCTGAGGAGCAGATTCGAACAGGGGCCGAGGCACGTGCGCACAGGAAGAGAACACTGTGTCAGCATGTGGGGCGAGATTCGGCTTCTTGTCCTTCAGGTGCCCGGGACTTCTCCGCAAAAGCAGGACACTGTACTCGTTTTGAAGGTATCCTCAGGTTTCTAGGTATCGCCAGGGGAATGTTGGTACACTGTACAAGTAGCATCTGAGGATGAACCCAGTGCGCCCATGCCATGCCGTCAGCTCAGGGAGGCTAAAGTTCAAATCTGGAAGAATAAAATGTGGCTTTCCGAGGTTGGTCAGCTCTACCCCTGGATGTGTAGTGGCGATAATGGTTGAGGGCTGGGGGCATTGCAAGAAGCAGACTGTTGATGAGTCTCTTTTGCAGCTATGCATGGCGAGACAGTTTTCGGCTGCGTTGCCGCTTGACCCGTGTGGAACACATGGAGTCTCAGGGTTGCAAACTGCCTCCTGTGACACATGGGTACAAGGTAAGCTCACTGCGTGTTTTCGCAGCCCTGAAGTGCAAACTTCAACGTGATACTGTGCTGCCTGTGCCGCAGCTGCTTGCGCATTTGTATGGAACTTCGCTTGTTGCTATGAAGTGTGCCCGTACCTGCCGTAATCAGTTTCAGACGTCATTGGTTTTATTCGGATAAAATTTCAAAAAAAACTGTCAGATGCGTGTCACGCTGCTGCTCGCAGGAGGTTGCTTACAAGCGCCAGGGGTTTATGGTTGCATGGGGAGTGCAACAGCCGACAGCAACACCTGCTGAAGGAAAAGGCTGCGCTGTTTGCACCTGCACCTTTAGCAGGGTAGCCCTACTTGCTTGCTGTTACCAAGGCTTGACTTCGCATGACCTATTTTGCCCATCTGCCAGACCACAGGGCTCACCCAAGGTTGCCCCACTCCTGGGCCATCCCAGGCCCAGGTTTGTTGTAGTCGGGAGAGAGCGTGGGCCTTGCTGGCCGGGCACTTGGCACATAGCCGCGCATAGCCGCGTAACTCGAAGAACTCTTCCAAAATGTAAGTCATTCAAGCTGCTGACACCAGGCCTCGCCGCCTCCAACAGGCACCATTTCTCGCATAGCACTCAGAGAACAAAGAATGCCGAGGAGGTAGTGCCGATAAGATTGAAAAAGGAATCTATCCAGCGAATTTCGGGGTGCGCGTCGAATGAAGTAGACGTGGCGTGGTGGAACTTCAAAGGGCGCTGTAGAAGGTCAGGACATGAAAATTATCCAGCAAAGCTCCAAGAGAGGTGGCCGAACACGTTCCAAGTATCGTGATCATTTGAAAATTTTCTATTTGTAGCAGATTGGGCTTCAAAGACCTCAGCCAGGCCCGTTCAAGCTCACAAAATTATCCATGACAGCTCACGTGCAGCCAAGCAATGCCAAGCGTTTATCAAGACAGGGCTCTGACACCTACTTCTGCATAGCGCCTGCCAAAGAAAAGCAGGCTTAATACTGGCGGTGATCAAAGCCTCCGGCTTTGCAAGGAGTGTCCTCGCAGGTGTTGGCATCTGTTGTATTGAAGTCCTTGGAACCCCTGGTGAGGTTCCAGGCCATATTCGCCGCAGCCGCTGGACGCCGAGCTTTCGGCCCTATCAAATCCTTTCCTCCTCAGATCTTCTCAGCAACTTGACAGACCGCCAGAGTGATTGCCTTGCGCTTCTAAGGTCCATGCAAGTTGCAAAACATACCAATGACTTCTTCCTGCCATACGATGGCGAGACAACTCCTGGGCTTGAACCAACGTCCGTTGTTCACGATAGCCTCAGTACAGTAACCAATAAATTGCCAACTAAAATCAATTTCACGCTTCGAACTTTCTACCGCCTCTTCCCTCCGACACGGCTGAAACGTCCCATGTTCTGTGCAATGAATGTTGTTCTTGCGCAATTGCAGCTCCCCAGACAAGCGTGTGTACAGTAACAAGCAGAAGAGAGCAGAGCCGGAGGTCTTTCCCGCCGCTGCCCAAAGCCTCACCAACCGGCGTAGCTAGCCCGCTTCGTCGCGCCCTGAATCCCGGCAAATCCTGCAAGTCTGTGAGAGTGGCAGCTTCATAATTCTCTGCCATGTTGACCAGGAGATGCACTGCGCAACATAGCAGCAGATGGAGGCCAACCGCAAAAAGGTCGCCTTGCGCAGTATGGTGGCAGCTGGCGCTTGTGTCAGTTCGGCCCGACAGCCCTCTCTCCGAGCGACGCGCTGCTCTCCGAAACCGGAAGCTCGAGGCGCAGCTCGAGGCACAGGGCGCCGGAAGCTCAGTGGTGAGACAGTGGTGAGAGATGGCGAGAGACAAGGGCCTCCCTTGAGCTTGAAGGAAGTCCTGGAAGAGCCGGAGAGCCCCAAATGTAGAAAATGTGTCACATCCTCAGAGGGAGGCTGAGATCAACTTTGCGATCCGTGCGCTTTGGTATTAATCTGCTTGAGCATCAGGACGAGCTGGAGGCCAAGCATGCCGAGGAGTCGAGCAAGTTCTTCAAAGAGCTCAGAGCTGAGATGAGAAGATCAGGTGTTGTCTGCAAGCGCTTCAGCCAGATACAAGCGTTTTGCTTTCAGGCTTTTCGTTTGGCCCTGCATCTCCCATGGATTCATGCGATTTAGCCTCGCTCAAGGAGCCAGACAACCTAAGGATCGAGCATCTCAGAAGAGCACTGACCAAGATGCGCCACACTGAGACAACGGCAAGCTCCATTCCATGACAGCCGATGATTGTCATATCTCCGGTCTCAGGCTAGATGCAGCGGCCATGCACATGCCAGCGGTGTTCCTCCGCTCACTGAAGGTAACGTCTTGCAGTGTGCCGCACACACACAACTCAGGTGGAAGTTGAGCGCTGTAAGTTCCTGCCGTTGCCAGGAGCAGCTCCAGCTGGACGTGCGGTATCTGACGAAGCCGGAGAAAGGTGAGGGAGGGTTGGAATCTTGGAAGCGGCCATCCGACGCAGAATCCCTTAACCAAAGTGATTGAAGCAAGGCCTTTGCCTCCAGTGCCGGTGACTGACATTGTCGACCAGACGGAGTTGATTGAGGCACAAAGATGCGCTCCTACCGCCGGCAAACATGATTGCATGAGATTATAGGGTTTGTGCAACATCCACCTGATGCCAGTCGCTGCGACGACGCATTGCCGAGCTGGAAAAAGAGGCCTAAAACAAAACCCGAGTAATTAGAAGAAGTTTCGTGAGTCCAAGAGCGGTCGTGTGATTCAACCTGTCAGAATGGCATTCAAAAGCGGACCATTCGCGACCTTGAGGAGGAACTCAGGAAGGCACGTCAACTCTTTGTTGCTACAGTTCTGCCACAGGCCTAGCAGGGCCTAGCAGATACGACAGGCCCAGGAAGCCCTGCGAGCTGCAGGAGCACCTGTCGGGAAGCCCGTCCGTTACGGCAAAATGGCTGTTTCCAAAGATTAAACGAGTCCAGGTGATGCTTATGTGAGGAGTTTGGGGATCCCTTAGACCCAGGTCAGCAGCCCGCTTCGCAAGCGCCAGCTTCCAGCTTCAAAGGAGCATTTTGGCTGCAAAGCTGCATCTGAAACTCCGCATCTTCAGAACATCACGTTGCAGCAGGTGCCAGACAGATCCGTGGGCACCATTTCCTCAAAAAGGGCCAGAGGTGGTTCAGCCAGGCCAGATTGCTAGCATTCTCGTGGACGTTGAGCATAGTGGTAGCGACCTTGCATCCTGAACCTTTGGGATAGCGGGATAATACGGTTTAACGTTGTCAGCTTGGAAAGGAACAGCAGAAAGAGACAGCTCAATGGCAGGTGAAGCTCGCGTGCAGCAGGTGCAGCAAGTTGAGCCAGGCATCGGCAAGCTCCAGTCGAAGAGTGACCGTCCAACTTGCTTGGCATGATTTCCCTGGCCTGCTCAGTACACAAGCCCAAAAAGAAGAAAGGCAGGAGGCTCAGTCAGGAGTGCGCACGTGTGTGCGCTCATTCCACTACAACTCAGACTGCAGGCCCAGCGGTTGAAGCAGAGTCTAGCAGCAGCGAGGAAGAGGCCTGCGAATGCAAAATGAACAGGCATAGATCTTCTCCGCGTGTGACATTTCAGGTGGATCCAGTCAGCACCAAGCCAGTCATCCTCTGAGTACTTTGCAAATCCTTCTCGAAGGTCATGAACTGCCGTTTGAATTCCGCAGATTTCACAACTAGCGCTTGCACGGCATGGGGGGCATGTGAGCACAGAAGTGTGGTCGTCTTTGCATTTGAAAGCTACCCGTGAGGTCAAACGAAAGGTCAAGAAGGAAGAAGGCGTGACCATCTTTGTAGCCCTTGGTTCCTCGAGCTTGCGCTGAAGTCCTAGACGCGCGCACTTCCTCAATGTTGCTGTCAGGAGAGGTAATTCGGGTGGTGGCAGCTGCCTCAGTCCAGTTTGACCTTGCCAAGCACCAGGCACGACCTGGCTTCAGCATGCTGAGGACAACGATGCCATCAAGAGGCTTCAAGCGGAGCTGGAGACTCCCTTTGTTCCCTTTGTGTGATTGCAGCCAGTTTCTGCTGTTAGCTCTATATAAAAAGCAGTCAGGAGCTCCTTAAGATGAAGTTGGCTGCAGCTGAACGCGAGCTGGCCAAAATGGAGGCGAATCCAATCTCGGCCTTGGAAGCCTCCCCAAGCCTGAGCCTGCCAAGGGTCTTAAGGAGGAGATCGAGCGCCTCAAAAAGCTCCTGGCTGAGCGCGCTTGGAGCTCAGCAAGGCTTGAAGGAACCTTCAGCCTGAGGCATCCTCGGTCAAGGGCTCCCGCCCCTCAGAGCAAGTTGTTTTTTGCCCACGGCCAGAGGATGCGCGTATCGCGGAGTTGGAGTCTGGGCCTCAATCTTTGTCTCAACTTGATTTACTCCATGCTTCGTTCTTCGCTTTGAATATTTGAAAGCGCATGGCCAGGGAAGAGCTCAGAAAGCTGAAGGAGAAGCCAAAGCCAACAAAGTCTGAAGGCCAGCACCAGCTGCCCGGCATCGCCGGGCTATAGTCTGAAACGCAAGACGTGTATGGTTGGGATCTGAGCCCATGCAAGCGGAGCAGAAACTGAATCATGGCACTCTAGTGGCGTCTCGTTTTGCTCAAAGTTGCCCCGCCTTGCAAGACGTGTCATGTGATGCTGCGGCCTTTCTTGGAAGATGCATCCTAATCTTGCACAGTCAAGCCTTACAGAAAGCCAGGCAAGAAGGAGGCGAAGAAACCAACGCAAGTTGTGAAAGAGGCACCCGGGCTTGTTGACTCTAATGATCTTGTTTCCTTGGGCCCGGCCAGAACATAACAACTTTCATCGTGATCTAGCACCAATTGTGCTGTCTGGTGATTCGCGCCAGCAAAAGATTCGCGTTTAGCAGCCTGCAGCAATGCGTGCAGGGTCTTGGTAGACCGGTTAGCACGTTCTATTCGGCATGCAGAGAAGAGCCGAGCCATGTTGTCAAGCATTATTTGAGAATGACACGCCCTTGCTGTGCATAGGTCGCTATTGCCAAGATGCAGCATGGGTCATTGTCTGCGGCTCAAGCAAGAGACGTGTCTAGTGTCCACAACGCAGACCTCCAAGCATGGGTGGGTCCCAAAGCCAAGATGCTCCAGCCGCACCCGCGGGCCCCAGCACAGGGCCCTCTGCCTCTGCAGCTGCGTCAAGTTCTATGGTAAAGCTGAACGTGTACTCGCCATCCGGTGGGCAGCATGCTGCGTACCATTCAGGAGTGGAGCTGTATGGCGGCGAGTACGTATTCGGAGGCGGCGACTCCTCCTTCAGTGGTGTCACCGTGCAGAGGCCTCGTGTCCCGCCACCAGGGAGTGGTTGGGTTTTCTATCAGACTGTCGACATAGCTCCGTGCCGCTTGTCTCGGGACGAGGCTCTTCGAGTCATTCAAGACATGCGTGGTGAATTCCCAGCCTCTTCTTATGACCTGATGGGACGGAACTGCAACCACTTTGCGGATGCCCTGTGTCAACGCTTGTGCAATCAAGGAATCCCATCGTGGGTCAATCGCCTAGCTGGCATCGGCAGCGCTGTGCGCAGTGCTGTGGGCGGGGGGACTGCTGCCACAGCACCCGCAAAGGCAGAGGGAGCAGGCGGCCCGGCCGCCGTCGGCCTGGTGGCAAGGTCCACACCTTCGGACGGAGATCTCATGAGTGAGGTGGACTGGCCTGGTGTGGGGGTCCTAAATGCCTCAGAGTCAGACCCGACCGAAGCTCTCAGAGCCGGTGGGGTTTCCTCAGACGCAGATGGCTCACCTGAGATGCTTCTGCTTCTGCCGTTCATGTCGCCCGTCAAGCTACAGAAGCTAGTCCTGGAGTCCAAAAGTGTGGACACTGCTCCTAAAGCAGTTCGGCTCTTTGCCAACAATCCCAATTTGGATATGGACGATGCTGCTGGGGGTGCTGCAACCCAAGAGTTCGGCGACATCAGCTGGACAACCACCGCAAACGTTGCGACGTCTACGATTGAACTGAATTTCCTGAAATTTCAGAAGTTGAGCTTCCTGGCAGTATATCTGAAAGGGGACGAGGACTCTGACCAGCCAGTGAGCATTAGCAAGCTGGGCTTGTTTGGGAGAACGTAGGTTGCATGGGTAGAGAAGTGGCAACGAACCACAGCTTTGCTCCACGGGATGTCGTGAAAGGTTTGAAACTTGCGCCAAAGATTTGCTGCCAAGCTGCTCTAAGTGGGCGGACTGTTGCAGCTGAGCGAGATGATGGTAAGGCAGAAGTTGCTCATGACCGTGACATCTGTCAGGAACCGGAAAAGAAGAAAGAAAAGAAGTACAAACAAGATCCCGGTCCCACCCAGCGAGGTGGCCAGCTCATCTAGAACCCAGTCCATGACTAGTTTGGCACGTGCCTGTGCCGTTTTGGGCCATGTGGCTGCTAGCCATGCATGCAGGCCCAACAGTCACAGCAAGCCAAGAAGTCCCAAAGGAGGAGGACGCCCCGCACCTCCGGACATGATTGTTTGTACTTCAATTATGGTAGCAGTTCCCATTTTCGTTCTCATTATTCCTAGATGATCGCAGCTCAGCCAATCTGTGAAGCCTTGCCAGGCCTCCAGTGGAGGTCCACGAGGAGCCCGCCGAGGCGGCTGCAGGTTTATACAGGCGTAATATCACAGGGGGAATGTAAAAGAAAATGGACACTACCAGTATCTTGGGGGCATGTATTGTGATTATATGGGGGAATGGAAGCTGCTTTTGTATAGGGGTATGCTGCCCGCTGAGCAAACCACGCGTTGATCTTTTCTTGCCGTTTGCGCAGGTTTCGTCAGAGTCGGAGGAGGAGACTTGTGCAAACATAAGGTTCAATCCTTTCTGCCGCGAAGCATTGAAAAGAAGTGTGAAACAACAGGAGAGTGTGGAAGAGCCACCGCCTCCAAAGGCAGACGATGGGGCCAGTGGTCTTGTGCTTATGATGATCGGCTTCCGCTACTGTTTCTGCTAAAGCCCAATCATACTCGGTGTCTTGTCTGCTGCTTCGCTGCTGTTGCTGAGCATGGTTCTTATGGTGGTAGCTGTATCTAGCGGTGATTATAGCGGTCAGCTACCATTGCCGCGGTTTCTTGCTGGAGCTTTTCAGTTCCCGCTTTTTCTACAGCTTGGCTTTCCTGATAAAGCTCGTATTGTTTCTTGGTCATCATCCCAGATACGTAGAATTTCCGCGCTCTTTTCTCTTAGTCTTCTTGGTGCCGTCAGTGTCCAAATCATGCTAGCTACCAAGCTACTTCATGAAACTGGTCAATGCGATGATGTGCCACGTGTTCGACAAGACCTGCTTCTACAACTCAAAGCGGTGCTTTCAACCTGTAACTTGCCCCTAGGAGCGCTCTTTGAGTATACGCAGCGATGTGCCAGGAGTTCGAGGACAAGTGCGTGCGAGACTTAAAGCCAGGACCATTCAAGATTTATCTGACTCGCCTGCCGTCTGCGAACTGCGGATTTGAGTCGACAAATCCAGCATCTAGGCGATGCTGATCCTCGTGCCAGGTGGGAAATGGCCCGGGAAGGGGCTTGCAAGACGAGTTGTGGACTCAACGTGAGTGAGAAGCAGTGCTCGCTTTGTTGCATTTCGCCATGCGCGTACCTCTTTCACAGGCGTATACATTATGCACAGGATTGTGAGAAGTGATTCTGCTCAACATCATGCTCCAATACTGCCACACTGCAGACATGAATATGCCCTAACCATGCATCCCGGGCTTGAATTGTAACAGGCCAGAAGTCAGTGTAATTTGGTCCTCGTAGGAAGTGCTTGCGCCGCAATTCGAGGGCCTTTTTTGGAAGTTGCATGTACGGGACACGCTGCTCTGAGCTGCATGCAGCTGCCCACTTTGAGGCCAATTGTCTGCAAGGGCCGCGGTCTCATGAAGCAGGATGAGGAGCTCAACAAGACAGGGTGGCCTACTTGGTTGCCATAGTTGTAGCCAGTTGTCCTATTAGCCGCAAGCTCCCGCAGATGTGATGGCCAAAGGCGCTGCTATGAGCTCAACCTGGTAGAGCAACCAAAGCTGGGGGCCCTACCCGGTGCAAATGGCAATGAAACGTAAGGAAGTTTCAGCTGGGCAGTTACCCCCCACATGTAAGCCGCCCAAAAGCCTTATGCAAGGGTACCCACCTGAAAGTTCCTTTACCAAATAGCAGTGCTCATGGCTTCATCGCTATGAAGGCTGGGTCTCAGCAACTCTGCGAGTCTGGCTTGGAACTGAGAAGTGCGTGGTGCCACCTTCATGCTTCATAACAATACTGATAATAACACTTGTTTATACTACTAGTATTAGTGCGATGGTAGTGTAATAAGAGTAGCAATACTAGAAATGGTATGAAATAACATTACTAGTAGTAATAGTCGTGAAATTGTGATAGTGTTTTTAGAGCCACCTATTGACACAGAGATCATGAAAGTCACTGAAGATGCTTCGTAGCTCCGTGAAGCCTGGAGGCCACACTTGACTTGGACGGGAGCGCGGCAGGGCCCTCAGGAGCACCCTGCGGCGGGTTAAAGGCTGCCAGGGAGATGTGGCATACGCATGGCTTTTTGTCGAAGAGCCGTCATTGTGGTCCCTAGTATGAGCGCCCCCTAAGTCAGGCTAGATGAGAATGGCATTGGGCTGCATGTGCATGTGGGTAGCTTCCAAATATCTGCTTTAAACATGCGTCATGCAGGTCCGCACAGCTGGCAAGGGTGCACGTGGAGTTGGCGTGTATTCCGGAGGTCCCCCGCAAGTTCGGTGTTCAGCGAGCAAAGTGATGAATCGTACTAAGCCTCAACGGAAGCACCTCTGCACTGGTGTGGTGCTGGGGCCACCAACTTGCATCAAGCCTTGTTGCAGGCAGCACGCTCCTGGGAGGTGTCCAGTTTGTCCGCGGCCTGGAAGTTATGGAACAAGCCAGTGACAGATAGGGTGCAGTTGCTGCTATGTGAAGTGTAGGCGAGCTCCTGGGGCTCCAAATCTGGCCGCGTCCTGGCAGCAGCCTTGGCTAAGCTGAAGGCTTCATACCTCGGGTCTCCTGCAGCGCCCGCATCGGCTCTTGCAATTTTTTTCAGGCGAACACCTGGGATGCCGAGCCCTACCTTGCACAGGCGGATGATGGGCCCTCGAAAGTCGTTTTCTTCAGCTGAAAAACACCTGGAAAGGTGTGGGAGCAGCACCCAAAGGGCCATAAAACGCCGGTGAAGCTAGCTGCCTCAGCAAGTCGTAAATCCTGGGTGACTTCGCATGTTGGAGAAACGGCTGCCATGGCAAAGGCGTGAGCTCATCAAGCTTGGCGCCATCTCACCTCAGAAAGCGTGGGTACCTCTGATCTTTGCTGCTACAGTAGCATGACGTTGCGCTGCGGAGTTAGGCAGCTTCCCACAAGCAGGTCCACGATGAGCCTACATTCCGTGGACTCTTTGGGCCAAGGCCTTTGACTAGGGTGGCCGACTGACACCACTTTCTTCCAAATTGTCAACAACAGATACTGCCACCGACAAGAAGATGATGAGGTGGATCAGGTCAGAAATCCTTGGCGAGCGACGCCACGGTCAAGTTCGAGGTTCTGGAAGCGTTAGCCTCAGAAGCCTAGAGTTGTGAAGACGTCATCACCAAGCGCAGTAGCCTGAGGCAGCGGCATCTTCTTAGAAGTGCCTGAGCTAACAGGTCTCACGCATCGCTGCATGCCAAGGTTGCAGCTAGTCATGAATTAGAAGGAAGACATAGGTTTCAGAAAGGCAAGGGGACTCAGTCGAGGTCCGGGCAAGTCTTGGATCATAAGTCATGAACGAACATGAAAGAAGTAGGATCCCACCTACATTATGTCATCGTGTCAGGCAGAGCGAAGCTCGTGACACGCCCCTAGGTAGGTGCAGGTGGGTATCCCTGGGATGAGGCTGAGCGGCATCCACAGAGGAAGGTTTATGACCGCCCTGCTGAAATAACAGAGTCATCGATGGAGAGGTAGGTAGCCATAGCTAGTTGGAGCTATCACATTATGAGAATGTGCTAGATTGGACTGGAATTTCTGTTAGATGACAAGTGCAGGGGGTGCTTTTGATGTGCAGTTGGCAACAAGTTGGAAAAGGAAGTGTCATGCCTTTGTTGTTGTCTGGAAAGCCTGAAAGATGCAATGACTGCTTCGGTACCTTTCCTGAAGAAGGTTAGCAAAGAGACATGCCGACGCTATCCAGACTATCCATCAGCGGGCCGTCGAGTTTAGACACGGCCTAGTTGGAACTTACTTCCTCGAGTTTTGTTTTGGAACTGGAGGCCTGGAATGCTTATTTGCCGCTACGAACCTGCCATTGGCTTGTTGAGATTTGACGTGTGGCTTCTGGTCAGGGCGATGGTGCAGATACGGCCTGGCTCGGGTGCGGAACCTAGATACCTGGGATCATCCCCTACATCCAACGTTTTTTGTCTTCAAATGCAAAAGCCTGACAGCAGCGGCTACGCCGGCTACACCAAACAATTACGCCAGCAGGAACTTGGAAGCAGAGACCACAACCAGGCTCAGCGGCACCAGCACAAGCACATGACACGCAGGACTACAACGTAATTCCAAACGGGTTTTGACATGTGCCCCCACTGCGTCAGGCCTGGATCGTGTGCTGCTTCCTCAGACTGGAAAGGGTGCAGCTTTGTCTCGGCATACATTCATGCTACTCCATAGACGGCAACAACTAGAATAGACAGGAGGCCAGAGGAAATGTCCGAAGCTCCGCAGTGTTTGTCAGGCAAGCTCCAAGGAGAGGGCGACAAGAAAGGATAAGATCAGTACCCGACGTCGATTGGCACCATGTAGAATATTGTGGGGCGTTCATGTATGTGAACAATGGTTAGATGCTCGAAGTCAGTACACACTGAACTGGCAATGATAGTTTACAAGCATGCTTGTGCCGGGCTGCAGCAAGCCCAGTCTCCAAGGCCGCAGCTTAACAGCTAGGCTTAGATGCGTATCCGTAAATCACGTAGCCAACGCTCCGGCAAGGCAGCGAAGCGTGCTGCGATTTGAGAATAAGTAAGCGTTCACTGTAGAAAATGGCTGGTGGTGCCATTTTGGATGACGCCGAAGATGGGGCAGCAGTGTTGCGGGGAGAGATCCGGCGAATTCTGGGCTACGCTCTCAGTGGTGCTGCTACAAATGCCATACATGATTCAAGCGTTTTCCTGATTGTACCCCGAATCCCCAGGAAGACAGACACCAGAAGAGCTTTTGCGAGCCCTTACTGGCAAGGCCAGCAGGGGGAGCTCGCAAAGATCGTGAGTTTGTGTTTGCTTTTCGAAGTGTCAAGTTGAAGCGGTTTTCACCAAGAATTGCTGTACCTTTGCACGCACCACGTTCTATGCATTGCGTGTGCTCAATAGTTCGAAAGTTGTGTCGCTGGGTCTTTCGGTGAGGAGCTGCAAGACATGCTCTCAGAAGCTCATGTGACGGCGAGCCTTGGTCAGCAGAGAAAGCAAGTATTCCTCAGCTAAGCAAAGTGTTGACTCTCAGGAAGGTGGCCCAAGCAACCAACGTCGTGGCCTGAGAGAAGCTGTTGCCACGCTGTGCCCAGAGCCACTGCTTCCTCCACTGTGTAGGAGGTCTGTAGGGGGTCGCCGTGCAAAGTCCAGCCTTGGGCGTGCCTGGAAGTGTGGGTAAGGTTGCGTTGCAGGCTGCGACCAACTTCTGTCCACTTTCACGGGTTGGTGAGAAAGAGGCTTTGAGCACAGGCCTGCATACAAAAGGTAAGCTCTTGGGATGACCTTTGCCAGGGCTTGGTCCCAAAAGGGCTGGCCAACCTGGGGAACACCTGCTACCTCGGCTCAATTCTTCAATGCCTGGCGCAGCCTTGCATGCAGTATGAACCACCACTATGAATGTAAGTATGGACAATTTCAATTCGCAGTTTGCTGGATGCCATGTGGCCAGCCCTGGTCATGTCGACTTAAGGCAGACTCAGATCTTCACGGAGGAGCTCTCCAATCATGAAGCTCGCCTGGGCCGCGTAGGTTGGGCCTGCGCACATTCTCCAACGCTGCGGAAGCTGTCGCCTTCCAATCCAGGGCACGAGCTGAACAGCATCCTCGCTAAGCTGCGATCCACAGGGAAAGAGCAACCCTCTGTCGCGGCTGTTTTGGGTGAACTTGCCAGTAGGTCCGGTCCTGAGGCCAACAACATCCTTGTGGCTTGCACATTTCTCGTGATGTCCGACCGGGGAAGTCACATTAGGGTCATAAGGGCAGGCCATGTTATGTTGCAAGGACATGCATGTGCGTAGCGGGATGAGGTACAGCTGGTACCAGGGCAAGTCACAGCAAGATGCACATGAGCTGCTCCGGACACTCTTGGGAGCACTGACAGATGAGCTACCAGCGCCGGAGGACCAGGAAAGTTGCTTGGACCGGCAAGGTGAAAAGCTTGGCTTTGGTGAATGCATGTTGGCTCCTTGAGCTCAGGCCTGCAGCAGGTGGTGCAGAGGAGCTTTAAAGGACAGATCTGTGAAGCCATCCTCTGCTGGTCCTGCCGGTCGCCTGACCTTATTGTGATGACCATCAACTGTTCATGATCGATTTCAGCTGGGCGAAATCCTGTTTTGGCTTGCAGCTGACACGGGAGCTCTCCTGACTTGTCCACCAAGGCGGATCTCCCTAAGGCACGAAGAGTTCCTGGCACTTTGGCTGAGCTGGTGAGACGACAGTTGGGGCTGCGCCTGTCCTTACCAGCATGCCCCAGGCAGGAGCATGCTGCTTGGTAAGGACTTATCCCTGGACATTCCTCCTGGCGATGACGATCCTGGCCCTCTCGGCCTTCATGGCTGGGTGATGACACATGCCTTTTTGATTTCAGAGAATTCTGACGCCTGGTGGTGTAGAATTCTGCTTTAAGGAAGCCGGCTGAAGAAGGTCCCGTGGAAGACGTCGCGCAGGAAGTAGAGAAGGAAGCCGAGGAGTGACCTGCCAGCAATCAGGTTGCCCTATCACAAGCTGGACTGCGGCATCAGCTAAGGCCGAAGCCTGCAGAGGATGAGTTCGAAAACGCTGTCATTGAAGTGCAGCTGGATCTTCAACTGCATTTATGCTTTTCAATCTTGTGGATTTGTGCAGCACTGTCCCACTAGAAAAGCAAAGCGACCAGCGACAGTGCGTCAGTGGACATGCTAAGGAGCGCGTGCCCGGGCGCAGGATAGCCTTGGGTTTGGATTGGGCAGAAAAAGAAGAACATGGGCGCAAGGTTTTGCGTCGCCCTGGCCTCAGCTGCGCTCAGCTGCGCTTCGTGCTTAGTAGCATGCATCCGTTTTCAACGCTGGGAAGCCAGGAATCATGCAGGGATCTATGGTGGATACCTGGAACAAGCGGCAGGGCCCAGAACGGCGCTTAAGCGCAGGGCTTCTCCTCCTTTCAGTAAATGGTCCCTGGGCAGCCATGTCGGTTATTGCTTGATGCGGCCACTTTCGGAGCGTCACGTTCACGTCAGCTGGAGAGGCTGCCAAACATGAACTGCAGGCAAGGAAGACCAGGACGACATTATGCAGGTTCCTTGGCCCTGCAAGACAGTGACTAATGTTCCCCAAACATGCAGTGGAAGGGTTTTCTTGGTAAGTGTTGGATTTGGCGGCTAACGTGCGGACGATATCGGACGTGGACTTGTTCAAGTCGTGTTTGCAAGGATCGGTATAGTGGCGACCGTGACAGTCTTCACATGTCAAAATCAGTGTGCTTTCAGGTTTTTCAAACTATAGGCTGGTCCGCGTGCAAAGTCTTGAAAACACCTTGGAACACAACATTTTCATGATTATGTTTGCCCATACTCGGATGCATCTTGATAGTTTTCAATTCCGCTTGACATGTGCAGCGCATGCGGTGATTTTTCGAGATTTTGTCTTTAATAGAGTTGGCAAACGTGTCACTGAATTGAGTAACTGTTGTGGAAACGTCCCAAACCACACCCCATGTCTTGGGCAGTAATTAAGGCCCTCGATGTTTTTGGCAAGGTTGTGTTAATGAATGATCGCTCGCAAGGAGATCAAAACAAGCATGCGAAGCAGTTGACCAAAGAATTTGACTCGTTTCAACGGCAGAAGATCTTGCTGAACATCAAAGTCTCAGAGCGACAGGGAGTCGTAGGACAAAGGCATTGTGGCGGTGAATGTGCCGCAGCATTTGATGTCACAGTTTCATTCCCTTCCCCAGTCCCCACGCAGCTCAATCAGCTCTGCTTCCTGTACGTATTCCTGGTCGTGGTTACCGTGAGTTGTGAGTCTCACCTGGTTGCTGTCATCGCTGCTTTCATTTTTGTGCTTGCGCTTGCTCTCATGCTGCTTCATGTGTTCTTTCCTGCTGATCTTTCAGTGCGGGTGTGGCTGTGCAACATGCATGAGATCTTTCTTGTGGATGGCAGGCTCTGAAGGATGACCAGCGTTTGCTGCTCCGTTTTGCACCTCCAGACGCAGTTGCAGCTCGCGGAACTGCTGATGACACAAACGGCTTCCGCGTGGATCTCGATGCTAGGCAAGATAGGTTGTGTTCCAACACAGACTGCTGGCTTCCAGCGCTTCATCCATACACATGTTATATTCCAGCTGGATTCTAACATTTAGAGCACAGCAGCTTAGCAACCAGATTGCTTGGTGCCAGCTAAGGCAAGAGACTCCAAAGCATCCTGGGGGCTACAACTTGATCGCAATGCTTTGGAAGATGGCCTCCTCATCGTGGCCCAAGTCACTCCAGATTCTATACTGGATGCTTGGAACTTGCGATGCCAATCTACTGGCAGACGTGCAGTCATACGAGTGGGGAGCTCAGTGCTCAGTCTCACTGCCACCGCCTAGCCTTTTTTCCTGGCAGCTGCCAGGCTGGCGACCGGATACTGGAGGTGAATGGGAGCGAAGATGCAGAAGAGATGTCAAAAAGCTTGACGGATTCTGTGAAGCGCAAGATCAGCCTGCGGTTAGAACGTGGTGAGGCAAAGAAGGCCAGCCACGCCCAAGCCGAAAGTTCATCCGAACAAACCCAAGATCCTGATTCCATCTTCGACATAGAGCTACAAGCAATGGCGCCAACGGCTAGTGGTTGGGGGTTCCAGCTGGAGCTAGGGCAAGGAGATGTGGAGGTCAAGAGCGTGCTGGATGGCTCCCCCTTGTCGATGTGGAACATTGCATGTCGGTCACGAGGCAGGGTGACCAACGTACGCGAGTCATCCTCAAAACTCGTGTATTCGGGATGAGAGAAAAGACTGCCATAAATCATTGGGATTTGCCCGACTCTTGCAAATCGATACTCCTCGATCTTGATAGTGTCCATCGTACAGGTGGAGGCATGTGATCGATGCATCCCTAGAAAACCACTACTCCACCCTCAATCCCAGTATTGATCCCTAGAACCCTCTATCCTCGTTTTATAAGGTCCCTAAAGTCCAGTCAAGGTAACGAGCAGCTGTGTGTGGAAGCTGGTGATACCCTGCTCAATGCAGCATCAGCGCAGACCGTGGCGACTGGCACTCAAGCCTTTAAGCTTCGGCGATCGAGAGAGAGACAGGACTTCACTTCGGAATTTGCTTGGAAGCTTTCTCACCGCTAGAGTCGTTTAAAGTGCATCCGTCTGCAGGCTTCGGTCCGCGCCATGGGCGCCTCTGCTATGGTTGCTGCGCAGCCGAAGCCGTCACCACAGCTGGAAAGCAAGAGACAGAGCATGCTTCAGGCATCCAGAGCCCAAATTCTTCCACTCCCGTGAATTGCTCACAACAGGGGGAAGGGTTGCCAGTTCATTCCTACACGTTGGCAGTCTCGAAAAGAAGCCCTAGCCGGGTAGAGATCGAACCCTGCAATTGCCACACTGCTACAGGCCTCGGCCAGAACAAGCGTGCGTATCTGACTGTATGCAATGACTTGTTTGACACGTTTTTAACACATGATGAACAGTGGAGTTCAAGAGACTGTTGCAGTTCACAACTCCAAGTGTATTGCCCCTAGACCCTAGACCCCTGACATGGGTCCTCGCGCTACACTTGCAATGCATGGTGGGACGTTATGTGCGAGTTTATCAAAACTCCCGTCCCCCAGAAATTTGGAAGACTGTAAACTACTGGCCCGCAGTTTTTCTGCATGGTCTCGCTGCCAGGCTGCTGAAGCCTGCAAAGCCGCGCTTCCCTCGGCTCTGGCCCAGGCGTCGTATTGCGCCCCAAACCATGCAGACCCCCGACCCATATCGCACTGAATTTTTCAACCGCTGCAGTATTCGTAGTCCCGCATGGCCTGGACTTCAGAATCCAAAGACGACCCAATTTTGAGGAGCACCCAGGTCAGCAAATAGAGAAAAAGGATACACAGATTTCAAATAACTCCTGATAATCCTTGCAATGCACCAGAATCCCTGTAGGGCTGTTCAAGACTTCCCGCCGATTTAGATCAGAAGTTGCACAGGTCTTTGCTGCCGCGCCGCAGCCGCCCGCCGCAGACCTTGCGGACTGCTTGAGGCAGCTAGCACGGCATTCGCTTAGTATACGATCGTAAAGTGTATGTAGTATAGGACTCAAGCAAACCCTTGACAGATTCAGGCGTTTGGGTTGGTGAGACGGGGAAGTGGAGCTGGGGTTGGGTAAATTGGGTCTGAGGGTGTAGGGTTAGGGAGTTTGGGGATGCAGGATGGGAGGTCTTCGAGCCTTCATTGAAGATGTTTTAAGGGGCTTATCGCGATGAGACATAATCAGGGAGATCATAGGGGCTTCAAGGCCCCAAGTGATACAAAAAAAAGGTTTAGTTGAAGTGGGTTCTTAGGGTTGCCAGGACAACGAGCGGGATGCCGGATGTTGCTCAATCCCCGAAGCCCTCGATACTCGAAATCCTAGAAAACGAAGCCGGCAAAGCAAAGATGAAAACAAGTTCCACTCATGGCTTCTTCTACAAAAATGACAAGAAGCAATGCAAGGCCTGTATGTAAAGTCCGAAGTGCGCACCTGACCCATCTTCTCCTGTGGTCCAAGGAACCTGGGCTCCATCGAGGCCTTGGAAGAAGATTTTGCCCCGATCTACAATTGTGTCCACTGTACCTTCGTAATTGAACATCGGACCGCAGGTTCTTGCAGACACTGCTTCGACTTTTCTTAATTCGACTGCTGGAGCGATCTCAGGCACTGAGACGCCCCGACAGTTTGCTTGCAAGCGAGCCTGGCTGAAGCCGCCACTGCCTCCAGTTGTCCCTGTCCAGCTCAAGCGAACCCCTGTTGGCATTTTGACAAGCTTACAAGGGGCAGGTGAAGAACAGTGTCTGCGCTGCCAGCTTGCTCCCAAACCAAGGATTCCACGGCCAGCAGGGCTCCTACCAGAAGTCCAGGACCCGGATCAAGACGAGCAGCACTCTGGACCTGAGCAGTCTGATTCTCACAGATGCTGACCAGCGCGAGCCGCAGCCCAAGATCTTCAAGCTTTTCTAGTTCTAAAAAGAACTTGTTATTGTCACGGCAGCTTTCCCTAAAAGAATGCATGTTTTGCTGCAGCACTCTGAGCTCTAAAGGCTGCAGCCCTTTATGGCATCGGGGTCCACCTTGCCAGTCTCCACTCAGCCTGGATCAACAGTTTACGATGCACGGCAGCACCAGAAGTGGGCAAGGCATACCGTGCTGCCAAGAGCGATACAAGCTGAGGTCCACTGGGTGAAGTGCTCTGAGTTAGCCATAGTTAGCACTGAACGGTGTCATGCCCAGCACGCGCTTTCCTTGACCTGTCCTGCTTCTACATTTGCCGACGAGTAAAGTTTGGACTGCATCAGGAGCAGGTTGGCTCGGGCTACGCAGATGCTGAAATCTAAGGAGTTGTATGCTGTTTGTGCCCATTTGGGTGGCAGTATGGAGCGTGGGCACTACGTCGCTTTTGTCAACCTTGGACCAACCCTGGATGAGGAGGTGCGACCGCAAAAAGTGGGAGGCATAGCAATGTCGAAGGCATACAATTTTGAACACCAACTTAACAATATGCAGTTGCTTGCATCCTGACATCTCCTGCATACCTTCTCATCTGCCAGCAATAGTGTTGTCGTTGCTGCCATGCGATTACTTTTGACAAGTGTTGTTCTTAGCGCTGCCCTTGTCCTCGGGATCGTGGTGGTTGCACTGGTAGGGCAATCAGGGTTGTGCTAGCTGTGGCGCGGTGGCCGTGGCGGTGCTGACTAGAGAGGAATGCTAGATACAAGCAACAGGGAGGACATGCAGCCGCGTTGACCATAAGCACGCGCTCAGCAGTCTCACGCCGATGTGGCCGCGCAGGCGTGGTTCCTGCTTGATGATGCCCGAGCAACGGCTTGTCAGCGAGAAGACGTCCTTCTCGTGGAAGCGCCACTGAGACTGAATTGGGCAGTGCAGTCGCTGCTGCTGGGTTTGCTCCTACTCGGCGACTTCCTTGCTCGGCAGGTTTTTGCAGGAACTTAATTTCACAGTTTGAGAGCCACGTCCGCTGCAGCGCGGGTGCGAACGCAACACGAACTCCTTTTCACTGGATTCGTGCCCCCACCAGATACTCTGCTGTGATCCCTTCAGCACACAAACTCAGATACGGGCAGCAGCAATGCTGGCTAGAGCTTCGGGCGCAGGGATATATGGGTTATGGAGTTATCAATATCAATTTGGGATGCGACGTTCTGGGTCCAATGGGTCCTCCGTAAGATCCTTTGTTTGTGGAATATGCGCGTCCTTAGCTGTTGACTGGCGTAGGTGAGTCAGTGCTCAACCACCCGTTCATATAGCTTCATGTTTTGGGTTTCTGCGGGGGCCTGGAGAACAGGTGTCTTGCTGATCAGAGGGCTTGGCAACGGTTTATCAGAAAAGCTTGACGTTCTTGCTCAGGTACATTGCCTTTTACAGAAGGCCCAATGCCGCCAGCAATGCGGGCTGCAGCAAAAAAACCTTTGAATGGCAGCTTTGGCAATTGCTCGCTGCGGTGCATCCTCCTCAGCCGTCTTAGCTTTGCCCAGCTCAAACTCAGCTTGACTGCGCAGCTGGCTGTTTCATGGCAGGTTGTATGACATCTTCCTTGGCAGGTAGGCTGTTAGTGTGGAAATACTAATACAGCACGGATTCCTGACAGCATGAAGCGCCATGGCACCATCATGGGCTGGACTTAACCTTTTCGCTGGACCCTGGAGAGCACAGTGGCGCAACCACTTGGTTGAGGCAATGGCTTCACATACCCGTGCAAAAAAAGCTTGTGACTGTGACTCGAAAAAAAGTTGGCTGCTGAGAACAACTCTCAGCGGAGACCATAAAGCCAGTACAAGCAGCAAGCACCAGGACTGCATACTTTGGTTTTAGAATGAGCAAAGAAACAGGATGTGCAGGATCTTGATCTGGATTCGGCAGCCGCATAGCTTTTCTGATGAGGTCTATAGTTCACATCTGCAGGTCCGCGAACGTCAAGAGCTCCCTAACGCTGGCTATCCGCAAGTGGAGGCCTGGCAAGGGAAATGCTACCCAGAGCTGGACTATGCACGTTGCCAGCGCCGGTGGACCCGAGCAACTTCAAGTTGTCGCAGCTGTTTCGCTTTGTCGAAAGCAGCTGAGCTAAGAAGTGGTTGCACTCGGAAATTATGCTAAGTGACACTGCATGACTAAGTGTTTTTTGGGGGGTTGTCTCCGCATGGCCAATGTGCATGGTGTCAGCGTCTAGATTGTAGGGAGAGCGTCAACATCACACAGAATCAACGGCTCTGGCTTCTACAAATCTTCGGGATTGTCTTCCAGCGGTGCGTGCCATGGCCGCCCAAAAGAAGCCGAAGAGCAAGCCGAAGGCCAAGGCCAAGGCAGCTTTACTTGTTATGGCCACATGCGATGCATCCGCACCTGCGTATAGCTTTTCATGTCTTGGAATGCCAGTCCTAGCTTGACTGATTGTCTTCTTGGCAATCTTGTGCGTATTCCTGCTCAGGCCTCTGGGAAACCCGTTGGCCAGTCCAGTAACTTGGATGCTTGTGGATAGAAATTCGGGCTCAGCTGATAACTTTTTAGTCTTACGGTCTCAGGTGGACAGAAGGATGCCGGGAGCCGATTGGGAAAGCCTGTTTCTGCGCCACGGCGTTCTGCCAGCTGCCTCAGTATGCAACTCCTGATGTAGTGTTTCCTTTGCTTTGCTGCAGTTTCGAACTAGCTGCTAACTAGCTTCAGGTATATGCAGGGTGCGGAAGTAAGTTATGCCCAACAGCCCCGAGACTTGAGAGCGGTGCTGCCTTTGAAGTGAAAAAGGCTTGGAGGGCAGTGCATCCTGATCCTATGGCACACAACCAGTATGATTTAGGTGTAATTATGCACGGTCTGAGGCAGAGAGTGGATCAGATGATGACCGCAACCGATTGCGGTTCGAGCTGACCGACGAGTACGGTGTGAATGATCTCAGCCGCACTGGCTGCCAATAGATTCACAATTCGTTGAGCGCGCGCTTGTCATGCGTGCAATCATTTGGGACCATTTCAGTTCTATAGTTTTTGAGTGCTTGCCCCGCGCGTTGAAGTGCTAAAGCATGCTAAAGTCTGAGGCGAAATTCATCGATTGAAAGCTATCCAATCCGCAAGGAGCCGACGGAACGGACCAGTCCGCAAGCCGGAGGATGCCTGGCAAAACACAAGAACCAAACTTTGGATCTTGTGCATGAACTAAGGGTAGGAAGCATTACAAATGCTAAGATATCCAGCAGAATCAAGGAGAAGACCTCGATCCTTCGCAAAGAAGAGGGGCATCTTGGACTAACTTGTCTTCCCACAAGCAACAGCATCTAGCAGGCTGGCAATCTGTCAGAGCTTTGGCTAGACTGTCAGGCCATTTCAGGGAGTGCTTCACTGCCATTCCAGCATTTCAGTGTACCATAATGGTCTCCCAAAAAGGGCACTTGAAGTAGCCTTCACCTGCATCTATGCTTGAACCCTGCACAAAGTAAAACTGTTATGGCCAGGTTACACGTCTACGCTAGTCAAAGATGCTGGTTGTTTTTGGCGGCTAGCATGTTCAAGTAACTGAAGATGCTCAAGAGCGCGTTCCAGATAACAAGCCAGGTCATAGAATTGGGCATCGCCACTGAACCATCACCTCTTCGCTGTTGGCTCCGCAGAATTCAGGTCATCACCGCAGCCTACTGCTAGAAAGATGCGACGGCAGTTGAGCTCGGATTCGGTGGCCTGGCGCCAGAATGTATATGGGATATTGCGGAGAAGCACACTTAACTTCTAATGGTCTTGACGTCCGCTGCCCAAGAGACAGCGAAAACACTCTGCAGCTGTAAACAGGGACAGAGAGGTGGAACTTGTAAGAAACTACATGACAGGCTTGCTGGAGTAAGCTGGCTTGCAGGGCATCCATGTCACAGCCCATGCAGCAGGACGTCACTGAGCCAGAAGTTGAGCGAGCCTTGGAACCACCTGCCAAGAAGCAAAAGGAAGAGGACATCGTTTGCATGAATGCATGCCCTCATACGGCCAATGCAAGTATCACAGACAGTGGCATAAGGGCACACCTAGAAGAGCTAATGACAGTCTGCGATGGCAGGACGGCAAAAGGGCTTCCGCACAATCCCATCCCAAGAGGGAGCAGGCACGGCAGCTGTTCAAGCTGAATTGTTCAAGGGAGGGGCATAGAGGGCACGTGACAAGGTGCAGCAAGCAAAGGCCAAGGTCGCTGAAAAAGAGTCGGAGTCAGAGGCAACGAATTTCAGGTTTTCAGGCGGCANNCCTGGAAGGAGGATGAGGACCCCGTCAAGCCACCACAGGCCCTGATGACGCGGGATTGACAGTGCAAGCCGACTCGCACAAGTTCCTGTGGACGGCATAAGTTGTGGCATAGCAAGAAGCGAAGGCTCCCGCAAAAGCTCCGGCAAAAGCAGCACCGGAAGAGGAAGACGACGATGATGATGAAGAGGATCT